CCCCGCTCACGTCGCCTCGCCGCCGGGCCGCCGCCCACGATTTCAGCGAAAGTAGCCGGCGGGATCACGCTGAAGGCCGCCACACGCACGAGGTTGCCCTCCGCCACCCCGCTCCTGCGTCGGCGGGCCAAAAAGTTGCAGATCTGAGGCCCTTCGTCGCGGGCGGCCCGGATTTGGCTTTTCCGGCCGCCGGTGGCTGTGCCAAGCGATGGAATGGTCGGGGAGCACCTCGCGCAGCCCCTGCAAAGTTCTATCACCGCATGCAGGTACGGGTTCGTCCTGTCGCCGCTGCCGACGGTTTTGCCGGCATGGATTCGACCGGTTGTCCGCAGGGCTCGGCGCTCGCGCAGCGGCTCTGCGGCTCGCCGATGCCGCTCATACAGTGTGACGCCTGCACGTGGACAGTGTTGCGGCTAACTTCGGGCATGCCGAAGCACCCCGAATGGGTGTTCTTCAAATGCGAAAACGACGGGGTACGTGTTGTTTTCATTCGGCTTTGGCACCGCATTCTTTGGTTCAATTGTGATAGCTCATTTCGAACATCATCATGTGTGTAGGAAGATGGATGCTCATTTTGGTTTTGGGAAGGCGAATATTGATTTATTGATTGAAAGAAACTTAATAGGCGTTCGTGCACTCCTTAGTAGAATCGAAGGCAATGAAACGGTTGTATGTACAATTAGAGGGGAAGCAACGTCTACTTCTTTAGAACCAAAAATGAGGAATGCAAAATAAAGAATCCACAGATCAACAATGAATGCATGGAGAAGATATTGCTCCAACTAATGGGAGCAATTATGAAAGTTGGAAATCTCCTAAAATGCATAATTGTGGTTCTTGTTTTTTTGGTTTTGCTATTCTAGCAAAGATTTGATGATGTCCTATGTATCCAATGTTGTTGACAAAGCAAAAAAATGCATTATGTTGTGTCAAATTGAAGTGTAAATTTAGGATTTGTGGGCGGCGGGAGCGGTGCCAGACCAGACCCCGCAAAGCCGAGCATAATCCGCGAATATCCTTTTGTACGGGTCCGTTTTATACGGGTCTGTTTTAGGGGTCTGCCTCTGTGGCCGTCCGCGCCGGCCCGTAAATCTATTTTTTCATGAATTGCAAATGCGTTTTACGGGTCAGACGGGATGGAGGGTCTGCTAGAGATGCTCTTACTCTGTAACAAAGGTGTGGGATTCCGTTGTGTCGGGTGGATCGGGCGAGAGATTCGGCCCAAATCCATCGCTGGAAGCATCATCGGCGGGCAACACGTGCGTGCGCCAGCAAGTTTCACCGGCCGACGTCATGGCGGCCTATGCCCAATCCCCGGCGCCATCACGCCGGACGTGAGAAATAACGAATCGACGATAACCACACACCCCCTTCCCGAAACCACAGAGAAGCCCTCCCTCCCTCCCTCCCTCCTCGACGGGCCATGGCCAAGCGTCACGCGCACAAGAGGACAAAACTCCGCAACCATATAAGCGGCCCCTCCCCTCTCGTCTCCAAAAGTTCGAGCCCCTCATTTCTCATACCTACAAGCTCTGCTAGCTAGTTCATCTATCGCTACCCATATCGCTACCAGATCTTCTTCCAAGACTGGTTAGCAGTCGAAGCTAGCTAGCTAGCTAGGGTTCGTCATCGAGCGCGAGCGCGCGATGATCATGTCCGACCCGGCCATGCTGCCGCCGGGCTTCCGGTTCCACCCGACGGACGAGGAGCTCATCCTACACTACCTCCGCAACCGCGCCGCCGAATCGCCCTGCCCCGTCTCCATCATCGCCGACGTAGATATCTACAAGTTCGACCCATGGGCCCTGCCATGTTAGTACCTGCCTGCTGCCTCCCCTCTGCACCAAGCAGATCATGATTCATTCATTCATGCTGATGATCGATTCATTTGATTCCCACTTGCGCTAGCTTAATTCTCATCTCAATAATCGTCCGTTGTTTCTCTTTGGGTCCCTTGATTAATTGCAGCCAAGGCTAGCTACGGGGACAGGGAGTGGTACTTCTTCACGCCGAGGGACCGTAAGTACCCCAACGGTGTCCGGCCGAACCGCGCCGCGGGTTCCGGCTACTGGAAGGCCACCGGCACCGACAAGCCCATCCGCTGCAGCGCCACCGGCGAGAGCGTCGGCGTCAAGAAGGCCCTCGTCTTCTACAAGGGCCGCCCGCCCAAGGGCATCAAAACCAACTGGATCATGCACGAGTACCGCCTCGCTGCCGCCGACGCACACGCCGCCAACACCTACCGCCCCATGAAGTTCCGCAACGCCTCCATGAGGGTAAGTCGCCACCACGTACGGTACAGCAATCAATCAAACATATAAACAAATTAAATCAACTGAAGTGAACACCCAAAACCCTACTGTAGAGTATAAAACTACATATAGGAGTAGATCTTAGTATATGTCAATTCGTGTCACGACAGTTGCATGCGTGGCACCGATCGATATGCACAGCGATTTTTCCGGGAGGGTGTACGGGTTCGTGTCGTCGGCACGTCAGGTTTTGCCAAAATGGAATCGGGTTGTGCAGTGGCTCGCGAATGGACGCAAGAGCTGCTTTAGTGTGTGTGTCTCGTTTAAAGAAATGTTCTTTAGGCATACTTGGCATGGTGGCGCGAAGTCAATAGATCCGACAATGATAGGCCTGATTGATGCATACGCGTGTTAATGACTGATTCATCTTTCGCCTGGTTGATTGCAAGTTTTATTCATTTATTTCTAGATTTTTCATTAACTAAATTTAATACTACGTGTGATCCGTCTTGGCATATACTATGTATGCAGCTGGATGACTGGGTGCTGTGCCGGATCTACAAGAAGACCAGCCAAGTGTCGCCGATGGCGGTGCCGCCGCTGTCCGACCACGAGCTTGACGAGCCTTCTGGCGCTGACGCCTACCCCGTGTCGAGCGCCGGCATGATCATGCAAGGCGGCGCCAGCGGCTACCCGCTGCAGGCCGCGGCCGTCGGCACACAGAGGATGCCCAAGATCCCGTCCATATCAGAGTTGCTCAACGAGTACTCGCTGGCGCAGCTCTTCGAGGACAGCGGACACGCGCTGATGGCGCGGCACGATCAGCACGCCGCCCTCCTCGGTCACCCCATCATGAGCCAATTCCATGTGAACAGCATGCCGCAGCTTGGGCAGATGGATTCGTCAGCCTCAACGTCGGTGGCAGGCGAGGGTGCCGCCGGGAAGCGCAAGAGGCCGTCGGAGGACGGTGACCGTAACGGGTCGACGAGCCAGCCAGCGGCGGCGGTGACGGGCAAGAAGCCCAACAGTTCTTGCTTGGGTGCAACAACGTTCCAAACAGGCAACAACACCTTGCAGGGGACGTTGCTCCGTTTCTAACATGGGGATCGGATGAACTGACGGTGGATACACACTATACTACTTCAACCCCATCAGTCTGAATTATATACGACTGGCGAACTGGTGATTTGAAGAACAATTATTGGGGTCTATTGCGCAAGATAGGTCTAAATTAGACAAATTATTGGTCAATATATAGGGAAAGGGATTGTACTGCAGGTGTGTGTGTGTGTGTGTGTGTGTGTCGAACGACTAGCTAGGTCCATGGATCATACTAGTAGATATGGTTTGTAGTGTGTACACAATATTTTTGTCTCCAAGGCATGCAGTACAATCATGTACTTGAAGCTTACGACCGTGCTAAGAAGGGCTTGATCAGACTGAGATCGACAAACTGAAAGTCTGGAACATAAGATGTAAAACAGCGAAATATATTCTTTAATGGAACCATTAATTCATCATATCATGTTTTACTACTATTGTACTCAAGGGTTTGTATACAGAAATGTTCAGCCATAGACGAAAAGATTATCGAATCCAAGAAAAAAGAAGTAAAGAAAGGGACGAGAAAATCACAAGTACGAGCACCTGCTCCAAGAACATAATTAGTCCATTCAGAAGAAGGGGAAATAGCCAGAAAAACACATAAAGGACGGACGAAAGAAGAATATGGAACCCGGGCATTTAATAATTGGCCAAAAGCAGGCAAGTTGTGGATGGCGTTTAGCTTTCAGTTCAGGAAGCGGATGGGTGACAGCCTTTTCATCCGTCTGAAGTTTTCTTCAGATTGGCCAAGAAGCCTTTTGTCCATGTACTCCCTCGTCCGAAAATGCTCGTCATTAAAATATATGTATTTAAATGTATTTTAGTTTTAGATACATTCATTTTCATTTATTTTGATGACAAATATTTTCGGATGGAGGAAGTACAATCTTGTCCGGCCACCAAGGCATCCCAATATTGCCATGCACATCAACAAGTCCAGGAACATCCATGTCACGGATCAAACAAAAAATGGCCCATTTGGCGGCTCAGAGTGGGATCAATTAATTGATGGATGGGTGCACTTCAGTGCAGTGCAGGTCCCCTGGAGCCACAGCCAGAGGACAGCTCTAATTATTGATTTACTGTAGCAGATCCATCATCAAGAATCACGATAAGACGGATGGAGGGATGATGATTCAACAAAAAGTCAAGGCGCTGGAGGACCTCATGCATGTTGAGCTTAGCTGGATTGGTGGATCTGGCTGTGGTGGTTTTCTACGGCTCTGTAGTTTTCCTGACTTAATTGGTGGAGTGAGTACTACTACTATTCTGATTTGAAATACTACTACAGTAGTACATCGAGTGTTTTAACTTTTACCAGCCGGCAGAGTCCTTCCTTTGAGAGAAATAATAATTGAAAGAATAAACGGATCCCTTGGCCATGTCTCGTGTGTGTAGATTACTACTCCCTCCGTTCCTAAATATTTGTCTTTCTAAAGATTTCAACAAATGACTACATACGGGGCAAAATGAATGAATCTACACTCTAAAATATGTCTACATGTATCCGTATGTTGTGTCCATTTGAAATGTCTAGAAAGACAAATATTTGGGAACGGAGGGAGTAGCTTTTACTACCTGGTTGTTACTTTCCATAGCACCATGTACATCTAGTCATCGACTAGCGCCATGCTATTTATATTTTGACAAGGCGGAGATGCTTATCCACGGGTAAAATTTTCCATGCTGCACACGCAAGTAATGAAGTAAGTTAATGTCACACCGGCATCACCATGAGCTGATGCGGTGGACGTGTGATTCGGTGGGCCCCGCTGCCTGCTGGCACGAACCCACCTGTAAGGCAAATTGCCAAGTGTGGCACAGCTATTTAGCCAGCTGGTGCCAGTGGGCGTGTATGCGTGTGTTGACATTACTCTGAACTTTCTCACCTACTCCTGTATCTCCTCCTTCCTTGGAAAGAATCCTCTTCCCCAAGTCTCGATCTCATCCTCTTCCTCTCTTCGATCCCCACTTGAGATGATGAGTTCGTGACAGTTGGTATCAGAGCTAGGTTGTTGCCCACCCAAAATTTGATTGCCCTCACATCCTCTCGATCTGCCGTAACACCCACCACTGCGGGTGCGGTCTTGCTCCGGCGAGATCCGCGCGAAATCCCCAGCGGGGTTGGCCTGATTTTAGCGAGGGCGATGGCGCCGCCCAGCAAACCCTCCGCTGAGACGCGTCACATCATCACAGCCATGTCGGAATCCACGGGAGAGCTCAAAACCATGATGTAGGCGCTCTTGAAGCGCTTCGACGAAACCACGCTGGCGAGTGACAAGCAGCGCGAGGCCCAGATCACGTTCAACACGCAGGTCTTCGCGGATCTGGCAAACATCTGCAAGCAGCTGGACCTCACCCAAGCTGATGTCGACCAGGTTCGGCAGCAGCAGCGCGAGCTCCCACCTTCGCCGACCGCAGAGCGCCACCGGCCAAACACCACCGACCACCACGACGGCGACACCCAAGCCTCTGCGGTGACGTCGCTGGAGCACGTCCGCAGATCGCGTCGTCAAGGCCCCGCCGTCCGCCTCGCCAACAACGGCCCACCGCTGCTCCCCATGCGACACACTCTGTCGTACGCAGGCGTGGGGCAGACGAACACGTTCATGGCAGGCCATGACACGCACACCGGGCAACGCGAGGAGTATACGGTCAAGCCGCCGAAGCACGACTTCCCGCACTTCAACGGCGACGCGCCCAGCCTCTGGATCGACCGCTGCATCACCTACTTCGACCTCTGTCGCGTCCCTCCGCACAGGTGGGTCACCACGGTGTCGCTCTACATCGACGGCCACGCTGCGCACTGGTATCAGACGTACCGACAGACACACCGATCACAGACGTGGGAGGAGTTCACCGCGACGATCATCACCGAATTCGCCCCGGACGAATTCGAGACGGAGATGCATAAGTTGCTGCAGCTTCGCCAAACCGGCACCATCGCGGAGTACAGGACGGTGTTCGAGATCCACATGTATCATCTGCTCGCCCTCGACGCATCGCTCAACCGCAAGTTGTTCATCACACAATTTCTACTGGGCTTGCGCGACGATTTGCGGGCTGCGGTTCGCCTTCAGGAGCTGTCGAGCATTACGCATGCAGCCGTATTGGCCCGGATCATCGAAGAAGAGGACGGCACGCAACGTGCTCGGTCGCAGATCATTCCGGTAGGTCGACCACCACCGCCGCCGCTACAGCCTCCTCCTCGAGCAGTGGGGGCGCCCCGACCAGGTGGCGCGGCCGCTCCCAACGACGACCTGACACGCGAGCGACAACTGCGGGAACATCGCCGCGCCAACAGACTCTGCTTCAAATGCGGCGACCGCTACTCCCGCGAGCATCGATGCAAGCAGGCCACGCAACTGCTTACGATTCAGGTCGGCGATTATGGTGAGCTGCTGAGCAACGATGCATTGCACGCTCTCGACCTGCTCGACGCACCCGCGGATCAAGACCCGGAGCCGGAATGTTGCGTGCTCTCCACCCATGCGGTAGCCGGCACTGAGTCGCCGCGCACTATTTGTCTGCGCGCACTCGTTGGCAACCAAGTCATGCTGCTTTTGGTGGACTCAGGGAGCACGCACAACTTCGTGTCCAAGGCGCTCGTCGAGCGCGTGCACGCCACAACTGTTTCCGTACCCACGGTGGAAGTCCGTGTGGCCAATGGCGAGCGCATGACCTGCTACAGCATGGTGCAAGGGCTGAACTGGTGGATTCAAGGCCACACCTTCACCACCCACATGCGTCAACTAGAGCTAGGTGCATATGATGGCGTGCTCGGCATGGACTGGATGGAGCAGTTCAGTCCCATGAGTTGCCACTGGCTCGACAAGACGCTGACCTTCGAGTAGCACGGCCGACATGATCACCCTGCAAGGTGTTCGACAGAAGCAGCATGTAACGCCCCCAGTGTCATGTTACAGTAATCCCCTGTTAATGGTGCCATGTCACCACACTTACTGTTGTTAATCTTCACTTGATCCAAATCACAATTCAAATTCAAATCCAACCTGAAGTCAAAAATTCATATTTGTCAGACATGAAAACTAAAATGTTCATCATGTGGCAAATAATCTTTTGTTAATATTGGTGGTGAACCAACCTTTTGCAAGGTGTTTAAATGGCCTAAACCAATTAAAGCAGTGGCTAAAACAATAGACTAAATGGCTTTTTAATTTATAGAAATGGCAAACTTTTTCAAAAGCCTCTCAATCTTTTTTGTGGAAGTGCCAACTATTGCAATGTAATTATGTGGCCAAGTCCCACGTTTTACAGAAAGCTTTTTGGTAGCTAAAATATTGCAAAAACATTTTCTGTCAAAGAAAACGGAGATAGAAATAGAAAAAGAGCCTAGGCTACTAATGGGGACAGGGCCTAAGTGCACAGTGCCTGGAACCCAGCCCACCACGGCCTCCTCCTCCTCCCTCCCCCCCCTCGTTCTCTATTCAAGCGACCGAGGCGTGCCCGCCGTTGCCGCCGAACCCACCTCGCCGACCACACTGCTACAGGCGCCGCGGGTGGATAAAGATCCACCTCTCCTTCCCCTCGGCCTCTCCTTAATCCCTATCCACTCTCCCTCCCTCGCCATCGCTCGCTCCGCCCCTCCTCTTCTCCAGATCCGCGGCCCGAGCACCCTCGCCGCCGTCCTTCGTCGTTGTCGCGGCCACCGGCGGCCCCGTGCCTACTGGCCTTGTCCACGGGCCTCGTCGCGGTCGGCAACCTCTCCTGGTGCCACCAAGTGGAGATGTGGAGCCCAGCTGCCTCCGTTCGCCTTCGTACACATCTCCGGTCACCGCCGCTCATCCTCAGCACCGGCGACGTCTCTACAGCTCCTAAACCACCACGGGCTATCGTGTGAGCCACTCGGTGAGCTTCACCCCTTTCCTCTCCCCGTCCTAGCTCCATTTACGCGCCGCGGCAAGCTGTGCACGATGCGCCGCCATTGTCACGCCCTGGCTCCGCTATCGAGCTCGCGGCCATCATGGTAGGGCTTGTCCCGGTCCGCCGAGCTCACCAACGCGTTCGTGGCTTCGAGTAGTCGCCGTAGGAGTAGCGCGCCGCCCGTTTTGACCTCTGTTTCATCGCGCATGAGTTCGCCGTGCTTCGGGTCTCCACCGTCCCTATCGCCAGCGGCGGCTCCGGCCATCGCAGCTCGCGTGGCCACCCGCGCTGGATGCGGCGTTGCTCACTCGCTCGAACGCGCCAACGCACGGGCCAAATGGCCCCCTGTACATGGATTTCGGCGAGATCCCAAGCGCTTCCGCCGTATTTTCGGTCGCCAGCGTTCAGCCGCTGGCCACCACCGACGTGGCACACCTGGGGCCACCCCTGGGTCACTGCCAGCAGGCCC